ATCGTTGGGATGCGTTACGGCAGATGCATCAAGAAGCTGTACCTCATCACCGGCGCCCGATATGGACGACAAGTGACGTGGTCAATAGGCAATCGGAAGACTTACACGGTCAGGGCAAACAGATTTTGGACATCAAGAAGCAACTGCCCAACTCCGACGATGCCGACCTGACCGCGGTGCTTTTTCATTCTTTCGAGAAGTTTGAAGAACGCGAGGACATCAGATAATACCGAGTGCCCGACTTCGGCGACATATCCGGCATCGACATAGATCCAGACGACAGCGGAGAATTACAATTGCCACCATATGACGTCGGATTTCCACCTGATGATCCACGCCAGCCTTCTCAAGGACCTCCGGCGCCTTCTTCGGCGCCAGCGGCGCGAGCACCAGCGGGGCGACCACCGCGGGATGAGCTTCAGCCATACACGACAACACCACCTGGAGCTCCTGCTCCACTTCCGGCGCCACCAGCGCCCGTGACAACAATCGGGCAGGAGTTCTCGGACACCATTATCCTGGGCGACATCTCATCGATAGAGGCAGGGCACGGCGACGGCCGAGGACCACCTCCGGCACCTCCGGCAGCGCCAGCTACTCGAACGATCCCCATCAACACGCCAGCACGATCAATAGTATTTCGGAGTTCGTCAGTATCACGGTAAGCAAGACGAGTGATTTTTGACGACGACAACGGCAACTCCTCTCAGAACATAGACGCCGACGATGACAGCATGAACCATGATAAGACGGACCACTCGGAGATAATGGCACCCCAGGCGCCACCTCAGCCCCCTCGACCTCCAGACAACCCTGGCCCAGGCATCCGACAACCAGTGGCAGTTCCAGCAGAGGCACCTGTACCGGCATCTTTCAGGCCACCTCCCAGATGCGAGCCAGACGCTCGAGAACCGAGGACTCCGAGACGACCTGCCCGAGCGGGCTCAGCACCACCAGCAAGAGAGATCGAGGACGTGGACGGGACCCAGCATTACCGACACCGACATCGACCACGATAGCGCCAACACCAGCAGCGAGCACGACACCGCAGTCACGGACATCACCGCTACTGCCGATTGCTGAACAGCCCGGCTCAGCATCAGCCCCTCAGACGGCACCTGCGACATCACGGACGCGACATCCAGCATCGACCTCGCCATCAATTAGGACACAACCTGCATCTCCAGCACCGGGCACTCAGTATCCCGAGGGTCGGACATCACCAGCGGAAGCCTTGAAGTATCCCGAGGAAGAACCAATTCTTGACGATGCACATGAGCATCCTGAAGACGACCATGATACACGATTACCGACAAACGTGGAAAGCAAAGGTCAAAGAGGTACCATCTGGAACGAGCTCACCAGCAACCAAGATCAGGAAAACCGACGACGATGATCCAGGAACAGCTCCCGCCGACGGCCGTGGTTCACCGATTTTACCGACGAAATCGACAGGCTCTAGTGACCCGATGGACGACATGATCAGCCATAAGTGAAGCGAACATTCACCCATCGTCAAGGTCCAAACATCGTCACCACCGATGCTCACCGAGACCAAGCGGCCCAAGCTCCTGGAAGATCATCACGCATTTCTCAATCAGCAGGTCTCCTTTGACGACTTCAGGACGCACTACCTTCACACACCTGATCTGGAGAAAGACGAGATCGACGAATTCCAGTCACTGATGATGGAGATGGCGAGCGAGATCTCAGCCAGCCTGCGCTTGATGGACCAGCAGATGTTACCCTGGCAGTTTCACGAGGCACAGTGGGCCATGCCAGGTTCACTTCATCAGAGCAGGCGTTTCTACTTCGATCTGGTCACGGGGGAGGCGATATATGCACAGAGTGATGATGTATTGACAGAGGCGGAGATATATGAATGCTGGAATCTCGCTGACAGAGCTGATCAACAAGAAGCCCGATCTTTCATACATTACCCATGTTTTCGCGCAGTACATGGCAACAACCTCGACAGCGGCAACGCAATAGATGCAGCGTGGGTGCGGAGATGGAAGAAAATGTTTGGTGACGATAATCAGCTGTACTACGTGATCAAATCACGACTATGTGGCCGCGGATTCTTAGACTCTTCAAAGCATGACGTTGTGCGACACAGCAGTACGGCATCAATATTATCGCAGAGATTGGTGGCGCCTCTCTTTATCATAGAGGAAGATATGGATATGGGGTCTTGGGATATAGCAGCAGCTTTCCTGCAGCGTCTGAACTACCAGGACCTCAAGAAGTGCGCGGCTCAGCTTGGCATCGAGATCAGACAGAGGAAAGTGCATATAAATCCGCCATCGAACGTCTGGCGCCACTTTCGGAACTACGACCGATCTACGATACACATCAGCGACAGTGAAGGTCCATTCGTTTACCTCATGTTGCTGAAGCCGATCTACGGCACCGCGGGCGCACCATTGCCACGGCAGTTGGCGCTCAGCATGTTCACCAAGGATGACCTTCACGGGTCTCAGAGCGTGTTCGACGACAACTTCTTCATGTGGGTCGACGACGGCAAGAACAAGATGATCTGGGCGGTGCACGTGGGCGACATCATTGTTCTGGCGTTCAAGGAATGGACGCAGTGGGCACAGGAGAAGACAGGACAACGATTCGGCGAAGTGAAATGACACACCTTACCCTTCACCCACATGGGAATGACATATGATCTGATAGGAAAGCGACACCTTCTGATTCTTCAAGACAAGTTCGTCGACGGTCTGAACAAAGCGGTTATGACAAAGGACATGCAAGCTCAGATCAAGGAGCCACTCACCAAGGCCGAGGTACATCAATTACGGAGTGGCATCTGTTCATTGCTATGGCTATGTCAGACGCGAGATGACATGTACTGTGACACGGTTCAGCTCCAGCAGTACGTGAAGGATGCTCGAGTGGAACACCTCATTCAGCTGGACGCCATCATCGGGCGAGCACATCGCAACCGGCATCTGGCAGGACTTCATTTCCCTGAGTCGGAACCTCCCTTCCGACTGGCATCTGTGGCGGACGCAAGTCACGGGAATTCACTTACATCAGATCCTCAGGAGGGCAGTGCAGTTTTATTGATGGAGGATGTTAAAGCCACTGTCCTTCACTATCGGTCGTACCAACTACCGAACACATATACTCAGATGACCAGTTGGTCTGCGAGGCTCGCAGCCTCCCAGACAGTACGCACGAGCTACGGGTTCGGGGGCGGAAGATCGCACGAGAGAAGAAAGAGGGGGCGGAGAGACACCCACAGCGAACAGGGCGAGGAGCAGGGAGACAGGCGAAGGGAGGGGAGGAAGACTGATGAGATTGGGTGAGGCGGCCTCCGAGGACAGAGGGAAGGAGGAGGGGCCGAGGGATGATGGGGAAGGGTGACAGCCAGGAGGACTGGAGGGAGGGGGAGGAGGGAGTAAGAGGAGGGACGGAAAAGGAGCAGGAGGGCAGGCAGGCGCGAGCCCTCCCGATGGGCCGCCGCCGTCGAGCCGTCGAGCCTGGGGACCTGGGGACCTGGGGAGTCCCACTGAGGAAGGCGGGGGGGGGGGGGGGGGGGGTGAGGGGGGGGGGGGGGGGGGGGGGGGGGGGGGGGGTAGGGGGGGGGGAGGGGGGGGGGGGGGGGGGAATAGGGGGGAGGAGGGGGCAGGAGGACGGGAGCGGTGAGGAGGAGGAGGAGGAGGAGGAGGAGGAGGAGGAGGAGGAGGAGGAGGAGGAGGAGGGAGGAACTCCTCTCCGCGCGGGGCTCGGGGCCCCGAGGCTCGGGGTCCTCCGAGCAGTTCCCTCGGAGCTCCAACTCGGAGCCCGAGCAAAGTTAGTAAAAAGCACTCAAGGTCAGGAAGTTGGAACCGCGCGTGGCTGAAGGCTGAAGGCTGAAGGCTGAATTCACATGCGGAACATGCGGAGGCCGCTTGATGGGCTTGATGGGTACACGCGCAGGGGGTGCATCCAGCTCTCGCCCAGGCCCCAGGGCCAGCGGCCACGCCTGCCACATCATGCGTGCCCAGACTGGGCGCGCATGATGTGGCAGCACAGCTGGGCAGCCCAGCTTCCTGGACTCCTGGACTGTCTGCGCGCCCTGCCGCGGGCACTACTCTGAGTATCGTTTAACCGATCCCCATCCTGCCATCCCCAGCGGCGTGGCCTGGGCCCCCACTGGCCGATGTACCCCCTAGATGGGGATATAGGCCGTTCCCGTCGGGCTTCGAGTTTCGAGGGGTGCATCCCCAGTTGGCGGTAATGTGGTGGGGGGTCTCGAAGGGCGCGGGGATGGGGGTGGGGATCGGTTAAACAATACTGGCAGCTCCGAGCTGCCAGCTCGCCGTTGACTCCTCGCTCCTCGGAGCCTCCTCGGCATTTGCCCTGCCGAGGCTCCTCCGATCCCCCCCTCTCCCAGATGCCACCCTCCTCCCGTCCATGCCCGCTCCCTCTCCCCCATGCGCCCTCTTCCCATCCTCCTCTCCTCATCTCCCTCTGTCGCCGCGGCCCGCGGCGGCCGCGGCGCCGCGGCGGCTGCTCACTTCGCGTGGCCGCCGCTGCTGCTGCCGCCGCCGCTGCCGCTGAGCAAGGCCGCCACGGACGGCCCCTTGGCGGCCGCGGCCTGCAGGAGGATGGGGGAGAGCAGGGGCTGAGCAGGGGGGGGGGGAGTCGGAGGAGGGGGGGGAATTAGAAGAAGATAGCGAAAACGATGACTACCACTAGTACTGAGAATAAGACGACGCGGAGATGCGGATGAGGAGGACGAGGAGGAGGACGAGGAGGCGAAAGAGGAGGGGGAGGGGGAGAAGGAGGATGATGAGGAGATGAGGAGGAGGAGGCGGAGAAGGATGAGAAGGAGCGACCTCCTCCTCCTCCTCCTCCTCCTCCTCCTCCTCCTCGGACTCCGCGGCGAGCTCGCCCCTCCGTTTCCTCCCGTTCCCTCCTCCTCCTCCTGAGGAGCCCGTCACTTTCTTCCGTATCGGAGAGGAGGGGGAGGAGGAGGAGGAGGAGGAGGAGGAGGAGGAGGCCTTCGTGGCGGCCTTGGTTGCCTTCTTGCCCGCCTCCGCGGCGGGCGCCTTCTTAGCCTGGGGCTGGTGCACCTTGGCTGGTGCGGCTGGTGCGTGCTTGACCTGGTACGTGACCTTCTGCTGCTCGGCTGCGTTCTTGGCCTTGGCCGCCGACGTGGTCTCCTCGGCGGCGGTGGCCTGCTCGGCTGCGCGCTTGACCTGGTAGTTGTTGGCCTTGAGGGCCTCAGCCTCGGCCGCCGTAGCCTCGGCTGCGTGCTTGGTCTCCGCCTCCGCGGCTGCCTGCACTGTTGCGTTCTTGCCATCCTCGGCTGCGTTCTCGTTCTTGGCCTCTGCCGCCGCCGTAGCCCCCTCGGCTGCGGGCGCGGCGGCGGCATCGGCCCCCTCGGCTGCGTTCTTGGCCTCGGCCGCCGTGGCACCCTCGGCGGTGGCCTGCTCTGCTGCGTGCTTGACCTCCTGCTCGGCTGCGTTCTTTGCCTCAGCCGCCGTGGCACCCGTGGCCTCGGCTGCGTGCTTGGCCTCCGCCTCCGCCTCCGCGGCGGCCTGCACTGCTGCGTTCTTGCCATCCTCAGCTGCGTTCTTGCCATCCTCGGCTGCGGTCTTGCCATCCTCGGCTGCGTTCTTGACCTCGGCTGCGTTCTTGACCTCCTCGGATGCCGTGGCCTCCTCGGCTGGTGTCTTGCCCCCCGCGACGGCCTGCTCGGCTGCGGTCGTGGCATCCTCGGCTGCGTCCTTGGCCTCGGCCGACTCGGACGTGGTCTCCTTGGCGGTGGCCTGCTCGGCTGCGTGCTTGACCTGGTAGTTGACCTCCTGCTCAGCCTGCTCAGCTGCGTTCTTGGCCTCGGCCGCGCCCTCGGCGCCCCGCCCCTCGGCTGCGGCCTTGGCTTCCTCAGCGGCTGCTGTCGTGCCCGCCGCTGGCTGCCCTGGCGCGGCCGCGGCCTTGACCTTGGTGGCGGAAGCGGCAGCGACAGCAGCCGCCGCTGCCGCCTTGAACGCGCGCACCTTCTGGGCTGCAACGGCCGCGGCCTCCGCCGCCATCTTCGAAGCTTCCTGGGCCTCCTTCTCGAGGGCGTGAGCCTCCGCAACACGCGCCTCGGCATCGGCGTCGGCCGCGCCATCGGCGACGGAGCCATCCCCCACAGGGGCTACCCCCGCCTCGGCCGCAAGGGCCCCCACCTCGGCCTCGGCCTCGGCCGCAGGGGCCGCCTTGGGCTCATCCAGGGGGATCGGCGGAGCGGGTGCCTTGGCCTCGGCGTCCTTCAAGACCTTCGCGAGCGCGCCGATGAGGCCGCAGTCGCGCACCTACGGGGCACGGCGGTGCTGCAGCCTCCCTCGCTGTCACATGTGTTTGATTGATTTCTCTCTCTCTCTCTCTCTCTCTCCCGCTGATTCTCTCCCATCCCTCTCTCTCTCTGTATGTATATATTTGGAGAGGAAGAGAACGCCCACGACGATTCAGCATGGGACTAACAGCTGGCAGAAACCCAAGGGATTCTCCGTGGGATCTGTTCTCTTCTTTAAAAAATAAACATACGGGCTTTCACACATTTACTCGCAGACAACGCTGGCGGCGGCCATTCGAAGACAAGGCCGACGAAAAAGCGTGCAAGGCAAAGACGAGAACAAAACCCGAGTGATTTTGTACGCCCGCACAGATCCCACGGGAAATGGTGCGCGGGTTTTAAGCAGAGACAACACAGCTGAAACACACAGCTTATGTATCGTTCCCCCGTCTCTCTCTCTCTCTCACTCTTTCTCTCACTCTCTCTCTCTCTCTCTCTCTCCCCGTTTCCTCTTCGAATCGGCTGGCTAAGCATGCCGTCGAACACATAGTGTGGCGCCTGCAACCTGCAGCCTGCAACTCCATGGCCCGAGGTTGGTCACACGTTGCGGCGCCGTTGTCGCGCGTTGCTTGACGCGCAGGCACAGCTTGCAGCTCCTATTGCCTGGCACCTGTTCCCTTGCCATGCAGTTGCCTCCCCCTCCCTCCTGGTCCCTCCTCGGTCCATCCCTCTACCTCTCTCTCTCTCTCTCTCTCTCTCTCTCTCTATCTCTCTCTCTCTCGTTCTCTCGCTCCCCCTCCCTCTCTCTGTCTCTCTCTCGTCTATTCTCCATCTCTCTCTCTCTCTCTCTCTCTCTCTCTCTCGCTCTCTTTCCCTCTCCCTCGAGGCGCTCCCTCTCGCTCTCGTTCCCTGCGCGCCGCCGGCCGCCGGCCGCCAGTCCACGCACTGCACCTACATGTAACGACCCATACAAGTGCATTTCATATAAACTTATATCTGCAAATATCACACATACATACATGTATATACACATATAGTTACATGTATGTGTAGATATGCACACACAGGGAGGGGGGGGGCATCCAAAAAACGAACACGAATTATCCTCCGTACTCCTCCTCCCCCGAACCGCCACCCTCCCTCGGAGGGTACCCGTGGCAACCCCACAGGACCAAAACCCGCGTTTCCCGCGACCCGACCCCCAGCGAAACCGCAAGAGGGCAAAAAACAGCGGCCGTTGCGGCTCGCTGGGGTGGGAAGGGTGGCCCCGCCGCCGTGCCGCTCCACGGCAGCCGTTAGGCTCGGCGGCGGGGTCCACGGGTCTGGCGGGTTGGCACAGTGGCCATGGTACGAACCTCCCCCGCCTCCGCCGCAACCCCCCAAACCAAAGAATTAACATGCCATGGCGCAACACATCATATACATATATATATATATAGATACACACACATATATTGATTTCGACGGTGCAGCGTTTTTCGGCTGGCATTCTGAGAAGCCTAGCCTGCAGCATGTATCCCCATGCATCTTGCACCGCAGATTGCTTGGCACATGGTGTCTTGCTGCTGTCACCCCCTGCTTGGTCACCCGTTGCCTTGCCGCCGTTGCCCCCTCCTCCCTTCTCCTGGTCCTTCCCTTTCTTCTCCTCCTCCCTCGCGTCCCACGGCGGGCCCTTCATCCTCCATCCCCCTTCCAAGCGCATGCAAAAAGCAGAAGCCGCACGTTGGACAACGCGCTGACGCTCTCCAAGGCCGCCCTCGTGAGCGACAGCGCGGAGCCACTCTTGATGTTCCCGATGTTCACCCTGGGGGCGGCGCGGGGGCGCCATCGACGGCGGGGGGGGGGAGCGGGGGGGGAGTTGGGGGCCAAGCCCAGGCTGGCGCGAGCATAGGCGCAGTAACTGCGCGAGGTCAGGCGGTCTTACCGAGAGAGCCCCCCTGCCCTGGCCGCCCTGCCTAAAGCGGGAAACCCTTCGAGGAGTCGGAGTCAGCGGCTCAGGAGCTACGATTGGTCACGCAGGCAGGCGAAAAGCTACGCGACCCCACCGAAGCGCAGTAGAGCAACGCGACATCCTCACAACTCGCGAGGCTGACGGCTGACAGGCAATGAAAGGAAACTAGAATGAAGCCCCGAAGAAGGTGGACAAGTGTGGGGAGCTAGCGAGCACTCAACATCATCACCATCACCGTCGCCATCGTCATCAACACCATCATCAGCACCATCATCATCATCATCATCATCATCATCAGCATCACCATCGTCATCAGCAGCAGCAGCATCAGCATCAGCATCACCACCATCAGCATCACCACCATCACCATCATCACTTACATCAGTACCATCCTCACCATCACCATCGCAATCGCCAATATCAGCAGCAGCATCACCATCACCATCATCATCATCATCATCATCATCAGCATCATCATCATCACATTCATCACCATCACCATCACCATCACCATCACCATCGTCGCCAGCATCGCCACCATCATCATCATCCTCATCACCATCACCATCATCAACATCATCAACATCATCAACATCGTCATCAGCATCAACAGCAACATCCGCACCGTCATCATCATCACCCTCCACCCCCCGCCCTGCCCTGTCATCGGGCGGGCCTCACGCCCCATGATGCCGACACCGTCTTCTCGCAGAACATGAAGCCAGCGGGGACGTATAACATCTCCCACGTCCGTGCGCCCGTCGTCGCGCGCCGCGGCCGCCGCCGCCGCCAACGGCATTCCAGCCATCCCCCACCCCCCGTCCACCTCCTCCTCCACTCCCCTCGCTCCTCGCACGTCGCACATGCTCAGCTCCGATCCATGCCATCCCCCCCCACTCACGAGTAACCAGGCAGACATTACATGCCCAAGTAACTTCTTATCGCCGCCGCGCTGTCCCCTACTACCCCCTTATCATCATACCCCTCATGCCCTCACCTCATATCTTCTATCCCTCACTCGTTGTATCTCCTCCTATATCATCCTATCCCTATCTCCTAGCTTCTCCTCCGATCCCTTGCCCCTCCTCCCTCCTCCGATCCGATCCTAACCCAATATCCTCTCTCCTCCTACCCTGTGCATACATCCCCATATCATGGTGTAGCCCCGTTGGAGGACATGCGAATTCCGATTTTCGTAGGATGTCAGCCCGTAGATTTTGGATCCCTGGCGGGCCGATCGTGGTCGGCTCGCGTGGCCGATCAGATACAAAAAACAAAAAAACAAACAACCCCCATATCCTCCTACCCCTTCTACCGACCATTCCTCATCACATCTGTTTTCCTGAACGACGTTGCCGCTGACCTGACCCCTGCCCCTGCCCAACTCCCCGACCGTGTTCGGCACGTGCTCGGCGACGTAGATGGTCGGGCCGCCCTCGACGTCGAAGCTGCCCGAGATCGACTTGAACACGTTCAGGATATGGTCGAAGTCGTTGCCGCCATTCTGGTCGGAGGCGGATGCGTTCTTGGTAATGAAGTTCGCGAAATCCTGGCGGCCCCCCGCCCCCCGCCTCCCCTGTCCTGCGCCCACCCCCCTTGGAGAACAAACAGGTACCGATGCCGCTACTCCACGGACCTCTCTCAGGGTGCGCTCTGACCATGATTTCCATGCGAATCCAGCTGTGGCAGCGGCAGCGGCGGGAGGGCAGTGACACGGCGACGATGAGGATCGAGGATCAGAGTCTGATCCTCGATCCTCATCGTCGCCGTCATCATTCGGCCACGCTCGTGGGACATAGAACCCAGGCTGCTCGCAGTCAACCTGCATAGTGAGATGTCACGCCAGCTCTCGGGATAAAGCTCAGCAGGATGATTGAGAATGCCCCCCACAGCCGCAGGGAAGACTAATATGGTGCTGAAGGTGGGCCGAGCCGAGTCCTCATCTTCCTTTCCCTACGTTTCTACGTTTCTCGCTATGCAGCGTCTCTTCCTTTCCCTCCTCCTGCTCCTCCTCTTCCGCCTCCACCTCTTCCTGTTCGTCATTCCTCTCATCCCCCCCTCCTCCTCCTCATCCGCCTCCTCCCCTTCCTTATCTTTCACGAGTGCGTGAGCTACCGCATGAAAACGCGGTTGCCCCCACGCCTCAAGCTCCAAGTTGGAGTCGCCGCGGCTGCAGGGGAGGCAGGAACGGAAATCAGGATGAGGGGGCAGGGGCAGTCTTTTCCCTCCGTTTCCTCCCTCCCCCTGACCCCCCCTCTTCCATCCTCCTATTCCTCCTCCTCCTCCTCCTCCTCCTCCTCCTCCGACCCCTCCTCCTCCTCCTCCCCCCTCCTCCCCCTCCCCATCCCCAATTGAGCTCCCGCTCGAGGCCTCCTCGCAATCAGTGGGAAGAAGCAACTGTTGGAAGCTGGTTATGTTGAATCATCGCTCGGGACATCCTGGCAATGTACCCTCTTCACCGTCCGCATCCTCCTCATCATCATCCCCCTCTTACAGTTGGAAACAATAATCCTTCTAGTTAGTCCTCCCCCTCCCCCTCCACGTCCTCAACTCTAGCCAAGACAATCTTCCTCGTGCCTTTGAGCTGGTACCGCAGCGTCGGCGCCATCATCATCTCCGTCCCTGCCCAGCAGTGCCCCGTGCTGCTGAAGTACATGCTCGATGTGTCTGTCATGGCCCTGATGTCTGGCGACGCGAGCTCGGACCACAACTCGGGCCATCCCGCGAACGGCTCGGCCAGCTTCATGAAGGACGCGTTCTCGACGGGCGGCTTGACGGCCCACTGCAATCGTTTGCCTTGGCCGTTCGCTTTGGATTGCCACTGGTTGATCAGGCCAACGACACCTGGCGAACTGTTGCGCTCGAACGCGGCGCTCGCATCTGCGACCAAGAACGGCTCGTTCTTGTGGACGCACTCGGACACATCATCGAACGACACGGACGCCAGCTTTGTCGCGAGAGGGAACTCAGCTTGGAAGAAATCCCCGAGCAAGCAGGTGCGCTTCTCGGCAGCCCTCGCGATGCGCTTGGCCGCGGCTGCCAAGAATGACTTCATCTTGGAGCCCTTCTCCTTGAGCTGCTGGCCCTCCCTCGCCTTGATCTGCGCCCTCGCAGACTTCACTGCGGCCTTAACGTTCCTCAGCAATGCCTTGAACGACCCGACGGCGTCGGTGAACATCTCTGCGTGCAGCTTCAATGCAGCATTGAACTCGTCCAAGGCCTTCTGCTTCGAAACCTGGGCGAGGATAGAAGGCTCGAAGGCTCGAGGGCTTGCTTGCAAGCCTCGCGCGACTCGGTCGACGTTCCCCTCGAACTTCGGCCTCCGCGCCGCCGAGGCCGCCGAGGTTCGGGCCTCCCAACCTCGATCCTCGATCCGGTAGCGCGGGGGCTCCGAAGGGGGACCTCGACCGAGCGGCACGAGGCTCGCAAGCTCGAACCTCGATCGAGGCCAGAAGGCCCGTGACCGAACACTGAGACCAAGTGTGACGATCGAGCCACGCGGAAGCTCGGTGGGTCGAACCGCGGGAACGGGCTATGGGATGGAGGGGGCATGGGAGAGCGGGAGGGGGCATGATTGTTGCGACGTGCGGGCCCCTTGCAGGGCCCCGCAGGGGCCTCGTAGGCATCACGCTCACGTCTCAATTGATCGGGACGGGGGGGATCAGAGGGGGAGAGGAGGAGGGAGGACAGGGGGGATGCGGATGATGACGATGGTGACGATGGTGGTGGGGATGTTGTTGATGATGATGCTGATGATGATGGGGGTGGTGAGGATGGTGAGGATGATGAGGATGATGAGGATGGTGGTATTGATGATTATGATGGTGGTGGTGATGATGATGCTTTTTCCCTGGGCGCGCACCGAGGCTCGAGGAAACGCTACGTAAGAAGGACGCGTAGTAAGGAACCCCATGATGCTGATGGTGATGAGGATGCTGATGATGATGATGATGATGATGATGATGATGATGATGATGCTGATGATGATGATGATGATGCTGATGATGCTGATGGTGATGCGGATGCGCTGTTAGCCATCAGGTGCCACCTCTCCGAGGCGCCAGGGGCATCAACCTAATTGGACATTGACGGTCTCCCTCTGCGGGGCGCGATGGTGGCGATGATGATGTTGATGACGGTGACGATGGTGCTGCTGATGCTGATGATGCTGATGATGCTGATGATGCTGATGCTGATGATGCAGGCGATGGCGTTGGCGGTGATGATGCTGACGCGGGGAAGGATGACGATGACAATGAGGAGGAAGATGAGGAGGAAGGAGGAGGAGAAGGAGGGATGCGGAGGAGGAGGAGGGGGAGCATGATGAGGAGGGGGAGGGAGGACGAGGGATAGGAGGTCGGGCGTTCACATTCGCAAGCTGGCCCACGAGGGGGCGCGCGAGGAGGAGAACGAGGACGAGGAGGGGGAGGATGGGGAGCACGTGGTACGCGACATTGTTGGTCACCCCTCTGCGGGCCCAACGCACGTACCGATGTCTCCCTCATCCGTCCTCCATCCTTCTCCTCCCCTTTCCCTCCTCCTGATCCGCCTCCTCAGCCTCCCCATCATCCCCCTCCTCTTTCTCGTCCCCCTCCTCCGCCCCCGCCTTCCTCCTCCTCCACGTGTGTGTGTGTGTGTTATCTTTCCTCCTGCCTCATTCCTCCTACCTGCTTGATGCGACAGGCGGCAGGTGTGCGAAGTTTGGACCGCCCTCATCTCCTCGGCTGCCTGCGCGCGCATCCGCAGCTCGACGTCGGTCACCGTCATCATGTGCTTGGCCTGCGAGCGGGACACGCACGACCGTTTGTTCTGCTTGCAGTGGTCGAAGAACTCAGCCAGCGTCGTCGCGTCAG